GCGCCGCCCGACACCTTCGAGACGCGAAGCTGGGCCAACTCAGCCTTCATGTCGTCCAACTCCTTCAGCAGCTCCTTGGAGGTCTTGTTGCGCAGCTCATATGCCTTCACGCGCACCATGGCTCAGAGTTTCAGCGACCGACGCGCTTCAGAGCTCGCACGGATTCCTGGTAAGCCAAGGCCGTAGCGAAAGACAGCTGAGTCTGGACAGCGAAAGGGCAACAATGCATGTACATGTTCACATGGCCAGCCCTCGAAGCACTGGTGCAGCATGTAAGGACCTGCTCCACGAGAACATGAAAACTCTGACAAGTGCTGAGTGCTGCGCACAAGCTGCGATTAGACTGAAGACAAACGACGCATTGCCGACACATGGCAGCGGCCAGAAGAACGTATCAATGAGCGGCTCAGTGCAGCATGTATTTTCGCAGGGCCCGTCCATCACTTTCGCTAATGGTGCCTGTTAGCTCAGCAGCGATCACATCATGACGGCGTAGCGGCGCATGGGGAAGTTCTGCTCGCGAGTCTTGGTGCGGGAGGTCTTCGCGTAGATCTGCTCCTTCTTGAGGGCACGACGGATCTTGCGGGTCTTCTTCGGTCGCAGATCCAGCGGCACGTACTTCTTGCCGGCATACTGCTTCCTGGCCTCTGCCTTCTGCTTCTGGTTGTACACGGTCAAGATCCTGGCGATGGCCTTGCGAACGGTCTTGATCTTTGCCAGCTTGGAAGCAGCGCCGCCCGACACCTTCGAGACGCGCAGCTGGGCCAACTCAGCCTTCATGTCGTCCAACTCCTTCAGCAGCTCCTTGGAGGTCTTGTTGCGCAGCTCATATGCCTTCACGCGCACCATGGCTTTGAAAGCTGGCAGCTACTCGCCTGGGGATGAACGGGCCCAGCGGTCTTACGCTCTTGTGGGTTGAGCCAACAAATTGACATGAATCTGAACATGCGAAGCGTTGGCTGTCACCTGGCTGTCACTGGCATCACATCACATTCGGTGGGTTGTGCTTTCTCGCTGACTCCGCGAAGAGCTGAAAGATAATGCCACTATATTCATTATCCCTTGCACGCACTTGTCCACGTTTACTCCGGGGTTGACTGAACATGCAGCAAAACGCAGTCAAGTTACATGCGCGCGCGCCAGTCGTGTTTTCCTTCGGGGCTCGTGTCTGTCGTGTTTCCTCCTCATCCCTGTGCTAGCCAAGAGAGCTCACATCATGACGGCGTAGCGGCG